GTCCCTGTGGCAGTGGGTTGCCATGGGCTACCATGTGTAGCCAGCAGCCAGCGTGAGCGGCCAGCAGCCGCAGTGAGCGGCCGTCCAGAAGCCGGCGGCTGATCTGCCTCAAGCTCCGGGAAAAGCACAATGATGGTGCCAACTTGGGCCAGTGAAGCAACGTCCTCCACAACTAGACTGAAGAACAAAAAGGACAGCAACTTGTCTGTTCCCCTTCTTCCAATTCCCCAATAAAAATCTTTAAAAACAAAAAAAAGAGTGGCATAATGCATGTCTCTTGAGCACTCATATGCAATCCTCCCCTCCACAACTCCCTACGACGCCATCAAATTCTTTCACTGTAAAGAATGTGATGAAAAAGCCAGGGGCTTTATCAAATTGTGAGTCATATAACATCTAACCACCTTAGAGGTACTTAGAGATGAGCTCAGCCAACCCCACTTGTTGGATGAGGGTGAGGAGGAAGAAAATGAGAGGTGGGGGTGGTATTGCTGAGAGAGTTGCCCCCAAGTCCCATGGCCTGCTAGTGGCAGAGCCAGACTTAGATGCTGGCTTCCTAATTCTTATTCCTCTCTACATGACACCACCTCCCGTTCCCATCCTGCCCCACCCACCTTAGAAATCTTAAACTCAATAGCAAATCCAGCTTCTCTCTGCATCTCTAGAAGAAGGTACTCCTTCTCCGAGATGCCACTTCTACATCCTTGTTGGCTGCTGCCACCTAGGGAATTAAAGTGAGTTCTCCTCCTTGGGCGGATGCGTGGGACAGCGGTCATGAGCTTCTATCCTGTTCAATGCCCAGCATCTTAATGAGTCATCCTTAATGCTGAGCTCACCAATTAGCAAACTATTCATATCCTGGATATTAGGATAATACTCATCTGATCCTCATTGCTGAACACATTCTTTTGTTTGTTCTTTGAAATTAGGGAAATATTCAAACTTGGATTTAAAAATATTACTCCAGGAAATATTGACTAGTTGCTGAGATGCAGTTTGATACCTAATTCTGTTCAAGGTGCTGGTAAGAAGAAATTCATCTACTTCATTCTCAACACTGCAGGTAGGAGAATACCAGATCAACTAACTCAGGTTCAATGTGTCAAGACATATTAACTCAAGTTCATTGTTAACCATACTTTCACTTTTCCCAAATCACTCCCTATTTCATTGTTTCATAGCCAGATACTAGTAGTTGACAACAAAATAACCATTCATTCCTTCAACGGTGATTGCTTAAAGGCCTTCAGTGAACCAGAAACACCCATGAACTAGGTCCCCTAGATCCTAGCAAGTCGATCAACTGATTATAGAAATAATGGAAGGGGCTCTTGACAAACAGTAACAGTCCAGGATGACTTCCTAGGCAATAAAAACCAGATTCCAGGAACTTACAATTCAAGAACAGAATACATGAAAACAATCATAGTTGATTACTTTTCTAAGCAGAGAAAGTTAGAAATCATCCTATTTTAGCATGTAAGCATTTTTTCTCAGCTGCATGATTATACCATGCCACATAAAGATA